GCTTCCCTTTATCTATTCTCTACTATCTATCTTCTTCCCACAGGTTCTTTCAATTCTACATTTTCAACATCATTTTCTTTATTTTATCTAAAAAATAAAATTGAAACCTTTATTATATCATACAAATTATCTATACATAATTTCGTAAACAATCTTCCCAGACCTTAACAGCCTCAATTTCCTACTTCTTGCAACTCGAAACCCAGACCAGTCCCCTCTCATGGTCCCAAAAGTCTATTCCTTGAGTCGACCATCCTGTTTTATGTCCATGAATTTATGTAACCTGTCCTGTATACCTAAAATGTTCTTCTCTCATTCTCTGCCTTCATCAAAGTCCAACTTAAATATGAGCTCCTGTTTTGCTAATTCATACCCAGTGGATGAATCAAATCACCAAGGTAAAGTGGCATAACTTACTTAGTGTCTTTCTAATGTAATAATAATAATTATAATAATAATAATAATTATTATTATTATTATTATTTTATTTCTATGAGATGTAAGAATATAGGCAGTTACTATAAAGCAAACATGACCCTAACAAAAAGTAAATAAATTGTTACATCACAATCAATGTAATGTAATTTAATATTTGCTGACTTGACTTTCAAAAAAAAATTTACATTATTTGACAACCAACTAGTTTTCTTTATGGGTAGATAGATCTATAGATTTTGTGTGAAATTTTGTCAGTGTGGGGAATGTTTGGAGCTAAGCTTTAAATCTAAAAAAAAAGGCTTTTTATAAGTATTGTTATTGTTTGAAATTCTAAAGGAAGCATCCATTGGATATGAATAATTTAGGAAACTAATATTTCCTAGAGCCCTTCTATAAGAATCCTGGAACAGTTTTAATGATTAAGGCTCACTTCCCTCAGTTGACTGCAACTCCATTCTCCTGGGAGCTCAAGTGAAGACCTTTTTTTCCTCACACCATACATATTAATTGCCCTCAATTTCTGAGGGGACATATTATCATGTGAGTGGAGAGCCAAATAAGAGTTTACCCACAGGAAAGTAACACGAAAAACACTGTACCCCCAGTACTTAGACAGTGCCTGGATCATAGAAGGTACTCAAAAAAGCATTTGTTGAATGAATTGAATAGATGAATAAACAATTTTTTTCTCAAACAATACAATAAGAATATACAGATATATTTAGCATGTCATAAACAAGACGGAAATAAGTACTCTATCCTGTGGTAGACACTCAGTGCTTGCTTGAAGCCTCTTGCAGTTGTTCTGGGTCATGTTGCAGGGTCTTTGACAATGAGATATGGGAGGATTTGATGAAAGCCACACCTAGTTCCAAACCTTTAAAACATCCTGCAATATCTTCCAGCTCTCCCATTTCTGCTTCAGTAACCTGGAAGGACACACATTCCAGATGGTACCGCTACCAGATGGAGGAGGGCTGTCCAGCTAGTTTGACTTTGGATATTTAAGAAATAATCCGTCATTGCATTAACTCATTGAGATTCGGAGATTTATTTAATACCACAGCACAAATTGACTTATTTTGACTAATAGACCTTTAAATCCATTTCCAACCTACCACCCAAACTATCTTTAAAATATATCCATGTTTATATGACTGTCCTAACTATATAATCTCCATTTATTCATGGGATTAAGTCCAAACTCTATGCCATTACTCAAAAGTCCTCCAACGTCTGAATTCTGACTATCTTTTCTTATTTCAACCAATTTCCACCTTACATTCTATGATTCAGTGCACTACACTTCATGATGCCTTCGTCTGCATTGTCTTCAGCTGCCTAAAGTTGCTTCACTTCTCCAAACACTCTCATGGCTAACTCTAGCTCATCTGACCTTTTTTTCAGAAAGCCTTTAGGACCTCTCCTAGCTGAATTAAGTGTTCCTGCTCTCTGCACTTGTAATAACCTGATATGTCACTAATAGTGCACTTATGTCAAATTTGTTGGGCACATAATATAATGGTTGTTTGGCACATCTTCCCCAGTAGGCCGTGAGTTTCATCTTTGTAGCCCCAGTGTTCAGCGCTGAGCCTGACATGGAGTAGAGTTGATAAAGTAATTAATAAAAAACAAATTTTGTAAAAACAGCATTATGTTACTCAATTTCCTTCAACAGCTTTACTTCTAAGTCTATGGTCAAGAATATGATCAAAACATTTGAGTTCAAATTCCAGCTCTATTGCTAATTAGTTTTGTGGCCTTGGGTAAGCTACTTAGCCTCTTCATGTCTATTTTCTTTATTAGGACATATTTTAATATTTATACTACTTCTGTTTTATCTGAGTTTTCTCCAGATTTAATGCCTGAAACCAAAAAATAAGAATTTCAAGGTTGTTAGACACATTACAATTCTGATTATTTAAATGTCGAGCATACATTCTCCAAAGACATTTCGAAGAGCCATATAAAAATAATGCTTGGAATAAAAATGGAAAATAGATTTAACAGAAAAGTCAAAGTAGTTGCATTTAGAAGAACAAGATAGACGTGTGGTGTCTGGAGTCTGGCTTCACACTCACAGAGCTGCGTTTACCTTGCTTGACTCACCAGGCTCCTTGCTTGTCCTTCAGTTTAGCATAACTAAGAATTCAGACGTGGCAACGTGGACATACGTGATTGATTTTTTGTAAAAAGACATCTGAGAGATCAAACTATAACTAGCCCAATGTTCTAATTACATTTCTTTAATTAATAATGAGTTTAAGAATCATAAACTTACTAGCTTTTGAGTAACTATTTTTATTAATGGCCCGTTATTACCTTGTGCCTATTTTTCAAAATAGAGTCTCTGTCTTTTGTTGGTTAATATTCTGGTGTTTCTTAGTCCTTTGTCGGCAAATATTTTTCACAATCCATTGTCTTTATCTTTGCCACAGTGCACATTTATAAGAAATTCTCAATTTTCATGTAATCAAATTGATCAACTTTTCTATTTAAAATTTATACTTTGGAGTTTTAAAAAGTCTTTTCTTCTCATCCCACAAATACAGAGACTCTTTATGAAGACTTAGTGAAATGAATGTGTTCTAGCTTGGTAATAATCACTGTTAAGACCATCCAACTAATTTCCCTTGGTGGTGGTGTTTCATGTTCCTAACGTAACCTTCAGACTACAGATTTTCTTTTCATAAAGATATTCTTTCAGGAAAGAATAAACCAAAACATTTCAAATCTAAATTTTTATTTATTTTATTTTATTTTATTTTAAAGAAACTATCATTTGTTCCCTGAGGTGTCCTCAGAACCTACACTAGTGCCTGGCATATAATAGTCAACTTGTCTATCTGTCTGTCTTCCTATCTTTCTGCCTGCCTTCCTTCCTTCCTTCCTTCCTTCCTTCCTTCCTTCCTTCCTTCCTTCCTTCTACCCATCTATTCATCCATTTATCCATCCATCCATCTATCCTATCCATCTATCCATCATCCATCCATGGAAAATCACATATATATTCTTAGAGTCTCTTTGTTTCCTTCCCAAATCAAAGTTCCCTGCCTCTAACCTCTGAGACAGTCTCTATTATAAATTTGATATTTAACTTTGGGGTTTGTCTTTGTATACATTTATCATAAATGTCTATTATCCACTCGTGGTACTGTATCTCCATTAATCTCTCATATACTACACTTTATAAACGAGTAGTACAGGGATATGGTTACATGTGGTAACTTGGGAACTAGACTGCCTAAATGTTAATTATTTGGTAGGAATTTGGTAGGTCCACAATTTTTAAAGTTTAGTATTTCTTTTTGAGTACCTAAGCTGATACATTAAGGTAGAGTTTATTCATTTATTTTTTTATAATTGCCTATCATATTATTATACTTCAATTTACATATTAACTTTAATGTTTCACTTTACAAATAAATGTGCATTAAGTATCTTTGTGGAGGAAGGCATATGTGCACCTTCTAGTCTGTACTCTTAAAGACCAAGAGAATGCCCTTTCTTCCTCTACTTTTCCATTTCTTCTCAAAATAATGTAAACTTATCATTTCGTGCCATGTGGTC